TCCATACACACATCAATTGTGTAAAGCGCATTTGTACATCATTCTCAAAACATTTTCTCTCCACTTAAACCCCCGACATTAGGTCCTCATTTTTCCAGTTGTCTTTAAATTATTGTTCAGTTCACTCATATCTGGATTCTAATTAGTTCATACAGTGCAGCTGACTGCAACATTGCTTGTCTTTTTCTTCCTTAGGTCCCCCTGTCCTGTCTGTCTGGTCCATTTCACAGTCTGGTTTCTGAGGGTTGTGACTGTGCCATGATCCTCTGTCTTGGGTCTCCTGCGGGTGGCTTGTTAGATCTAAGTGGATTCAAGTTTGACTTGTTGGTGATGGCCTCTAGTGGCAAAGCTCATCCATCTGCCTTACTCTGTTCTCATGGCAGGTTCTCCCTGGGCTTCCTAGTAGTCTCAGGTCCATATGGCTCCAGCTTAAGAAGGGCAGGAAGTCTGCTCAGCTGTGTCCATCCACTGCATCCACTAGCAAATTTGGGCGGCAGGGAATGTGGCTTGAAGAAGCCATGGGGTGAGCCTGCTTCACTGTGCCAGCGGCAGCAAGTGGAGATGATTCAAGGCAAAGAGCAACCACTAGGAAGCAACCTGGGGAGCTTTGGGCCTGCACAGCCTAACCTGAACTCTGCCCTCCCAGGCATGGCGGGGCACCTTGGCCAGAAAACGCTGCCGGCGCCTGCGGGCTATCTACACCATCATGCGCTGGTTCCGGCGGCACAAGGTGCACACTCACCTGGCGGAGATGCAACAGTTTTTCCAGGCTGCCAGACAGCCCCCGCTCTATGGCCGAGACCTCACTTGGCCCCTGGTGCCCACAGTGCTGCAGCCTTTCCAGGACATCTGCCAAGCGCTTTTCTGCAGGTACCGTCCACCTGGGCCATGCTCTGCTGCCCCCCACATGCCCTTTCCCCATTCCTGAACACCTTTACCCGTCATCACAATGACCTGCTAGCCCACCTTACAAGTGAGAGCCCCTGTGTGGGGCTCATTTTGAGGATTTGGAGGTGGGCCCTCCCTCCTCTGTGTAGAGGCTTGAAGGTTGCTGATTCAAGAGGAAGGGTAGCCAGTATGGAGACCATACTTGAGCAGGACCTTAAGGGCTGAGTACTTCTTCAGGTAGAATGGTGCAGAGAGAACCGTGTTTTAAGGTGGTGGGGATTGACACATGGCTCTTGGGGCATGTGGGACTGAGACCCAAGAAACCAAAAGAGATTCCCCTTGTGTGTGAAGGGGTCATTAGGCACTAGAAAGGGGTGTGATCTGGGGACATGACGACTGGGCAAAGGTGGAATGAAGAAGGGACAGCACAGGGTCCTCTGCCTCCACCCATCCATCTGACTGCCTCTGCCTCTCCCAGGTGGCGGGCCCGGCAGCTGGTGAAGAACATCCCCCCTTCAGACATGGCCCAGATCAAGGCCAAAGTGGCTGCCATGGAGTTACTACAGGGGCTGCGCCAAGACTGGGGCTGTCAGCGGGCCTGGATTCGTGACTACCTGTCCTCTGTGAGTATTGGATGGGACCAGGGTGCTAGGAGAGTGGAGCTGCTGGAGAGGAGGCTAATCAAGAGCGCATGTCCCCCTGCCCATCAGCCGTCTTCTCCTTGGACCACTGAGCTCTCTTGGTCCTGCTGACAAGCCCTTCCTTTCCCCTACACACACACAGAAGTGGACTTTATTGAGCCTCCTTCTCATGCTCAATTGCCTGCTACCCAGGCCAAGCCTTACACCTATCACTCTGCAGTCTTTGAGCTGGGAAGGGGCCAACTGACTCTGTTCTGCAGGTGGGCTGATGCATGCGGGAGGTGCATGGACGGTTCTTGGGTCTCTGCCTTCACCCCTGGCATTGCCCCAAGTTTTTGCATGAGGTGCAGTTTATGGGTGGGGATAGGGGCATAGAGGACAAGGGGAAAGAGGGAAGGACCCAGACCTTTGGCACTCAGAGCTTGATGGGATTTGTGTCCCCTGCCTCACTGAGGATGGACCCGTATTGCAGGGTTTCTGACTGAGTAAGGTTCACAGTGACCTTGGTTGTCTCAGATGAAGGGCAGATAGCCAGGGAGTGATGAGCCACCTTCTATACACATGGATGACAGGCTGACTCTCTTTGTATCCTGGTCCTGAACTGAGCCCTAAATGGAGACGTCTCCTACCTATCTGCCTGCAGACCACTGACAATCCCACAGCCTCAGGCCTCTTCACTCAGCGGTTGCAGACCCTCCGGGAGAAGGACGGCTTTGGGACTGTTCTATTTTCTAGCCATGTTCGAAAGGTTAGAAACTACTGTGGGGATAATGGAGGGCCTGGGGGGGTGGGGTGGAGAGGATGGGGTGGCAGGAGGATCCTTTAGGCCAGAATCCAGCTCAGCAAATCCATCACTGTTCCAGAAACCATAGAAACCATCAGCTCCAATCCAGTCAGGGTGGAAGCCAGCCACACAGGAGAGGCAGCAAGGCCCAGATCTGAGTGCTTACTTAAGACCGGGGTCCCTCTAGCCACAATGAAGGGGTGTCCTTGGGCCCTGGCCAGGCCTGACAGTGACTATTGCCATCTCTCCTCAGGTCAACCGCTTCCACAAGTGCCGGAATCGGGCACTCTTGCTCACAGACCAGCACTTATACAAGCTAGAGCCAGGCAAACAGTACCGGGTGATGCGGGCCTTGCCTCTCCGGGAGGTAAGCTACAGCGGCAGGGAAGGGGAGCAGGGACAGGGTCTAGGACAAGGCAAGAACAGCTGTGAGATCCCACTGGGCCTTGGGCACGCTGGACTCAATGGTGGGGCGGGTGGTGGCAGACATGGGTTTTGAAAACTCAGCTTGGATCACATCATTTCTCTTCTGGAAAGCCTGAAGTGGCCACTCCATCCACAGCCCTGTCTATGAGGTCAGCCTCATTAGTTATGCCATTACAGCCTCTCCCCTCTTCTTCAGATTGGCTCTGATTCCACACCCCTTTGTGTTTCGGGATTCTCCCATGCATGCCCAGCTGCCTTTTGGGGTGGGTGGGTATCTTTCCTTCTGCCATGCATGCAGAAGCCTGCCTCTCGTAGACTAATTGACCATCACCAATTACAGTTTCTTGTGTCCATTTCTTCTCACCTACATCACAGGCGCCATCTGAGGGTAGGGGTCAGGATCTAAGGGCAAGGATGTACTTTGAGATGCACACAGTTGTTGTTGGGGGCTGGGAGTGGGGAGAGAGTGTCTCTATTCTTTCTGTGTCAGTCAAGAGGGTCTTCAAAACTATGCTGTTTCGTATGGGAGCCACAAGGCACATATGGGTATTTTAATTCAAGTTCATTAAAACAAAAAAAACTCCTGTTTCCTCCGTTGTACTATCCCATTGTGAATGTTCCTCATGGGCAATCTGTAGCTGCCTTATTAAACCTGGGGAAAGAGAGCCTCCTACCATCCCACAGTTCTGTGTGCAGTGTTACACTAGTGGGTGCCTTACCAACGCCCCAGCCTCCACCTCCATGTTGTAGTTGGGAACCAGACCCCCAAGAGAGAAGGCGATGGTTGAAGATGACCGTGGAGCGGGGCTTGGGGCTCAGGAAATGCTTCCTGAGAGGAGTGCTTACCGAGAACTGGTGGGCCCTGGGTAGTGGGCCTGGCTGGATTGGGGGCAGCGTAGCACACCAGGCTTCCTGGGCGTTCTTGACTTGCGCCTCTGCCCAGGTGACCGGGGTGAGCGTGACGAGTGGCCAGGATCAGCTGGTGGTGTTGCATGCCCGGGGCCAAGATGACCTGGTGGTCTGTCTGCATCGCACCCTGCCGGAGCTGGACAACCGTGTTGGGGAGCTGGTGGGAGTGCTGGCTGCACACTGCCGGGGGTGAGTCCTGGACCAGGAGGGGCCGGGAAGCCCTCTGAGCCCTTCTCTTGACCTTCCCTCTCTCCTCTTCCCCGGACCCGGTTGCAGGGAGGGCCGGGCCCTGGAGGTCCGTGTCTCTGACTGCATAACCCTGAGCCAGCGAGGAGCCCGGCGCCTTGTCTCGGTGGCACCCAAGCCCGAGCAGCTGGTGCCTGATTTCCGCTGCAGCCGCGCCGGCTTCACCTTGCTCTGGCCCAGCCGCTGACTTCTCCCCCTTCAGACTTGGCTCCCTGCAAAAATAAAGTCTCTTGTCCACTTATGGTGCAGGTCTTGGGCCTCTAGTATGTGAAGCAATTGCCCCTCCACCTCCACCCGGATGGAATGGGTTCCGTTGTGCTCGCTCTGTTGTGAGCCGCCTGGGGGAACACAAAACGTATGCTGACTTATGATGGAGTCACCCCAAAACGGCGGGAGCAAGAGTAGGCACAGCGGACCCTGTCCCTGGGGCCCGCATTGGGAGTATAGTGTCGGAGAACCGGCCCGTTTCTATGAAAAGGGGTCCTATAAGACTATCCCATGCTGAAGCAGGTATCCTTTCCTTTCCACGCCGTCCCAGAGGGAGGGCTCATGGCTTGCTCCTGTCACCCTGGAAAACGTTGGGGTTCTAGGTCTGTCAGGTGGCAGCCGTGGGTGGGGAAGTTCCCAAGGGAGCCCAAATGCAGCTGCTGTGTGCAGGAGGCAGGGGCAAGCCAAAGAGAAAGGTTGGTTAAGCCCTCTGTAATTTATGTGGAAAGCTTCCATAAAAGGTGAGGTCTTGGGCAGTCCTGTAGGATGGGTTCGATTTCCAAGCTACTGCCCCAAATTCCAGAGTTTATACAGAGGAACTAACATAGGAACCCCACTTTCCTCAAGTCCAAATGTTTGCATCCCAGCCCCTTCAAGGATGTTACATTTCTTGCATCCAGAGTGGTGTGTGCTTTGATCTCCTGTCGTTCTGGGTGGATAGTGATGTTTGCCAGAACGGTGGTCAGCTTAAGATCTGGAGACCGCTTGAAAGTCCTGGATCAGCTATCTCTTCACTTGTCTTCCCAACACTGCATCCCAGTTCTCCTCAGGGGCTCACCACTGCCAGAGGCCTGTTTGACTCCTGCGTGAGGAGCTTGATTAACATGGGGAGGTGTGCTGGGCTACCTGGCTACATTAGCTACAAAGCACAGCAGCAATGTAAACACAGGTAAAGAGAAAAACAACTTCAGAGAAGTGTAATAAGCAGGAGTTTCCTCCATCAAGATTCCCATCCTTTAACAATTCTCCTAGTAACTGCTTTAGAGATGGGGAAGGGCAACCGTATTAGTTATCTGATTTTTCATGTGAGCTAGGTTCACTTCTTTCTTTGGGATACAGACACAACATTCAGTCTTTATGAACACTCCAGTTTCCCCTTGGGCTGCTGAAATAAGTATATCCAAGGCCATGTGATTTTTGTTACATGGTCTGCTGGCAGGACCAGAATTTATAGCAGAAGCTTAAAAACAAACAAACAAAAAACCTTAGGGCCAGGAAGAAAGATATTTATTTGGTAGCAACCTGCACAAGTAAGTCTCTATAAATGGAAATTCTCATAAAGGCTTCGTCTTTAGTGAAGCTACCTCAGGAGCCTGCCACAGATACACAAACCAGACATGTGAGACAGAAGTCTCAGATAGCTCTCCCGTACATAGTCATCGGAGAGGTGCTATGCCAGGTGACCGCACTTTGTGGTACAGTTTCTGCCTTGGCCAAAATGCATGTTGACACTTCCGAGCCTGTGTCACACAGGACGATAGGATTCCCCATTAGACTGGACGATCCTGTTCTCCTTTTGGAGCTGTGTCCCACCCATTCCAGTGGGGTATCCCAGGTCCAATTCTAGTGGGTTTTCCTCGCTCAGTCAATATCGCAGGGTGCCAGCATTGTCATACTTCGTTCACTGGGTTCTGAGCACAGGAACTCTCGATTCCCTGACTAGTGCCTGGCACCAGGGACATTGCTTCTAACCTGGCATAGGGGGCAAATGTCTCAGTAGGGACCTTGTTAATCTTATTGCCCGGAGAAGCACCCACATCCAATGGTCAATGTGTCTCTCCCTCTTTGAATGCCTTTGAGACCCTGTTCTTTTTTTCTAGTAAACTCACAGGCTGTGGATTGTAGGGTAAGTTGACATGTCACCGCATGTCCCTCTCCCTTGCTCACTCCCGTACCTTCTGTCCTTTAAACTGTGTCCTTCTGTTATGTCAATTCAGTGAGGGTGTCCATACATGAAACTGAACTTCTCTGGTTCTTCTATGGCAGCTTGATTGGCAATCCAACTTGAGGATGCCTGCGCAGGGCTCACAGTGGTATCTATGGAGACAAGCATATTTAGAACCTTCACCGAGGAACAAAGCTTGTATAATCAATTTGCCAATCACATCCAGGCAATGGGCAGTGATCACTATACCTAATCCCACTGGTAAGAGGCAAAGTCCTTGCAGTGAATAGCCAGAACATGCTGCAACGCTTCTTAGAACATCACTGTTTTAGAAACCACCCAGCTTCTTTAGCTATCCTCCATTCAGTCTGCACCTCTGTGGCCAATCTTCCAATGTACTCAAATTGCCAAGTCAGTGGAATCAGAGGTAATGAAGTTTCTTACTTTAGCCCAAGCATCTACTTCTTGATTTACCAGGGGTGAGGCCTGACAGTGGGCTGGGACATAGTAAACAGTACATTAAGTGTCTGGCTCTTGCAATCTATTCCAGGTATAACCTGTCCGTTTTTTGTCTCATAGGGGCTTGCCTAGAACAGTCTAATTTTCGGACACTTTCCCAATCATAACATCAGGCCATTCATTACTGCGCAATTACACATATGGAAACAGAGCTCATGAGTTATGACAACCCACACAGCTCTGAGTTCTGACCACCGGCTGCTTTTGTGAGTTTCTCTATCCATGTGGTGTCATTCAAAGGGTGGGCAGCCAGGTAGTCCACTGCAGTCCAGGTGGAGGGATTACCTTCACTAGAGCCAACAGTATACTAGGCCACACCAGTTATAAGGCTCACTCTCTCCTGTACTGTAGAAGGTAGGGCTGTGGGTAGTGTGATAAGAGTTTCTACAGGATTTTGTAAGCCAACTAGCTGCCATATCTCCATCAATAGAGAGCTAGGAAAAAAGATACCCTGCTGTTACAAATGCACATGCCACTTTGCCAAAGTCATGGTTTGGATAGTAGCATTCTTTCCCTAGTATGTTAGGCTGGGTTCTCTAGAAAGGAAAACCAGTGACACAAACGCACACACATAAAGAGAGAAGTTTACAGTAAGAAAATGGCTCACACTGTTATATAAGCAGCTAAGTCCAGTACAATTCAAGGCTGTGGGTCAGATGTGAAGCTGGAGGCTTCTCCTGACTTGTGTAGTTGCAAGGGCTGACAGGCAAGATCGTAAGAAGATGAATGAGGAATCAGGAAGACCATAGGCAGGTGAATGAATCAAAAGTCAGCAGGTCAGATGGCAGGACACTGATGGCTTCTGGGATTGGCAGGCAATATGAGAGACCATTGGCTCAAGTCCAAGAACCAGACATTGACAAACCAGATGCAGGAAGCATACCCCAAAACAAGCAAGCTCCCATAGAATCTACTCATATTTCAGAAGTAAGCCATACCCCTGGAGAAACTTCATCAGGGCTGTAACCTGAGTAACAAGGTGGCATTCCACCCTAATCTTCTTAAAGTCAGTGGCTGCTTACAGCAGATCCCATTATGGAATTAATTAACATCACAAGGGATTTCTTAACTGCCACACCCCTGAGAATCCTGACCTAGCCAAGTTGACACAAAACCTAACTATCATACCTAGGTAGGGGCCAGGCTTGAACCAATGTATAGACCATATATATAGCCAGACGTTGTCTTCCTATGAGAATATGCTTGACCATTTGAATAGCTGCAAATAGAACCCTAATGGTCACCTACTCTCTTTTCTGCCACAACTTGTGCCTTCTTCCATTACTGAGATATGAAGTGCAAATCATTTTCCTACCTGTTCAAATACCTGTGTCTACTCTCTACCCCATAAGTGTTGAACTGTGATATAAAGGTCTCCAATACCCTAGAATCACCACAAATGTCTCTACTTCTTTCACATTGGTAGGGCCAGGTAATCCTGCACTCTATCAATGATTGCTTCTGGGGAAACTTGGATCTTACTCAACCACATCATTCCAAGGAACTTCACTGCAGTGCTAGGATCCTGAATTTTGTTGAGATTCAGTGCCCATCATTAATCCCTAAATTGCATCAGGAAATGATCCAGAGTACCCCACAACATAACCAAATCTCTAGTTTGCATAATGTCATCCATGTAATGCACCCAGTGGAACTCCGGCAGGGAGGAGAACAGAACCAAGTCCTAGGAATTGGTGGGAAATGATAGGGCTATGCAGATATCCTTGAAGAGAAGCTTTAAAGGTCCACTGCTGTCCTTCCCAGGCAAATTGACCATGGGATTCCTGAGCCCAGGGAATGCTAAAGAAGATATTTGCTAAGTCAAGCGCAGTATGGAAAGTACTTACTTGGGTAGCCAAGATGTCCAATATGGTGACTATTTTGGGTATATTGTTGTTGCTAGGTGCCATCCAACCTTTCAGAGGAAACCAGCCTCCACCAACCAAAGGGCCAGTAGGTGCAATTATACGACGATAATATATAAAGATTATTGTAAAATCATAGAGGATAGGAAAGATGGGAGAAAGGATACAATAGTTAGACACATTGTATGATAGCATGCTCACCTCAGCCCCTCTTGATGATCCACGTGGAACCGGGAGAAAAGAGAGAGTGAAACTTTACTACCTTGGGACATTTTTAAGTAGCCTTAAGACATGCATATTCAGTAGTTACATGCGTCGTCGCAAGGTGGGTGGTATCTACATTACGGTCCCTGATCTCATAGGTGAAGAAACCGAATATCTTCATTGGGGGAAGGTATGAGGAGGGTTGGGTGACAAGGCGGGAAGAGAGAAAAGGATGTCCATTTCTATAGGGAGAGAGAATCAACCATGTGCTCACTTTAAGGCAGCATAGCTGTTAAGGGGAGAATCTGTGGGGATATTTAAAGCAGTGGAGCTTTTCAGATTCCCTGCTATAAGTTAGGGTAGATAGTCCTTGTCATGTTTCCTCAGTGTTACTTTCCCACACCAACCCATAGTGACCTGCACAACAGAATGAAGCACTGCTCGGTTTAGTGTCATCCTGACAATTGTTTCCATGCTTCCGCCCATGGTTTCAGTCACTGC